GGGCTGGGCTGTGGGGTCTGGGGTCCCCTCGCCAGGGCCTGGCCCCTCCTTGGTGCTCTTCTGCCCGCTTGGGGGTGCACAGGGCCCGAGGCTGGATGCCCGTGGGCCTGGGAGATGGTGGTGGGGCCGTGAGGCGTGACGCAGCTTTTCTGCTTAGAAGGGAGCCTGGCTGTGGCAGGAAGTCTCAGGGAAGCACAGGAGGAAGCGGCTGTGCCGACTCCTTCTCCTGAAGTCGGCGCACAGGCGGGTGCGGGGCAGCCGGGGCAGGGCCGTGCCAGCCCCAGCCGCCCGCTGCCTCAGCTCCCTCCAGTGCCCTGGGCCGTGTTCCTCTGCCAGACACAGGCTGTCCCCTCCCTCCTGTCCCTCGGTGCAGGAACACTGCCTTCACACGCAAGCCGGGTGACGGGCGAGGGCTGCCCCTCCGAGGCGGCCTGGTCCTCGCCCTCTGAGCACGGCCCTGCTGCAGCGGCTCTTGGCCGAGGGCCGTCGTTCAGGCCCCAAGGGCCAGGGCCTGATGCTGAGAGCGCCGTGGGGGCTGAGGGGCCGCTGTTGCAAGCGGGATGAGTGTCGGGTGGGCTGACTGCTCAGGGCCACCAGCGGGGACAGATGGGTCTGGGACAGGCTGACGCCTGCCCTGCTGCCCGCAGCCCTTCACAGCATGGCAGTGCTCCTCTGCCCGGTGTGACCTAGTGGGTGGCATGGCTCAGCCAGGTCCCCTCGTCCACTTCTCTCCAGGGTCTGGCCCCTGCTCAGTGGGCACTGTAGCCCAGCAGTGCCGTGGGAGAGTGGCTCGTGTCTCCACAGGCCCTGCCCAGCTCTGCCATCACATGGTGGTGGCGTGTGTGCCATGGTGGATGTGTGCCGTGACAGCGCTCTGTCCTGGGACAGGGGGTCGGGGCCACCCTGGGAATTCTGAGGATGGGGCCGTCCTGCCTTCACGGGCCCCATGTCTCTGTGCTGTGCTGTCTCCTGGCCCGTGGCCTGTGGGGCCCTGAAGCAGTGGCTTGGCTACCAGTGACCTTGAAACAGCCAGGCTCGGCGCTGTGGGACCCAGGCTGCAAGTCTGAGATGAGGGCGTCCCATCAGCAGAAGGCAGCAGCTGCACCACCCCAGCCTGCCTTCGTGCTGGCCCTCGTCAGGACGTGGGGCCCACCTTCAACCGGGATGGCTTTGTCCCAGGCTCTCCTGTCGTTACATCCGTCTGGTCACAGGAGCTGGGGTAGGACCCGCTGAGCTCTTCAGGAATGTGGCTCGGGCGGTGTTTGCCTGGGGGTCCCTGGCGCAGGGCAAGTGTCGTCCAGCGGGGCCCCTGCTGTGGGGAGGACCAGAGCGCCGTGTCCATGGCCCACGCAGGCTGCATGGGGCTGTGGTAGGCAGCCCCGCCCATGTCCTCTGGCCCGAGGAGCTTGGGAACCTCCTGGGAGCAGAGCCCCTCCTGCTAGGGCTGGGAGCTCTCCCCCACCCACTGCTGGCTTGGGGCACGGCCTGCAGAGTCCCCGCTCCTCCTGCTCCTGCCCTGCCTCCCCTGAGTGCCAGGGATGGGATGCCGAGCTCCAGGAGGAGGGAAGACCTGGGCCCCAGCGAGGCTGTGCCGGGAGCTCTGCGGGACCTGCAGGAGCCGAGCTGGGGCCCCATGGTCACCGCCCGCTGCCCGTGGAGCCTCCAAAGGGCTTCCCACGAGGCTGAGCTGCAGACCGCACGGCCCCACCCCACCCCACCCCGGGGAGCCAGGTGGTTCTGCTGTGCTCCGCTGTGAGGCAGGTGACAGGCACACACCTCCCTCCTGGGGCTGCGGAGACCAGGGACCTGCTGTGGCCCACACAGCACGTGGCAGCTGCTGCTGTTCTGTGATTATTATTTTTAAGATTTATTTTACAGAGGGAGAGACATCCACTGGTTCACTCCCCAGATGGCCTCAGCCGCCAGCTCTGGCCACGTGGGTGCAGGGACCCCGCACTTGGGCCGTCCTCCACTGCTTTCCCAGGCACGTGAACAGGGAGCTGGGTTGGAAGTGGAGCAGCTGGGATGGGAGCAGGTGCTCGTACCGGATGCGACTTAGCCCTCTGTGCCGCAGCGCTGCCCCAGCTGCTGTCTGTCTGAAACTAGCCCGACCCTGCCCACCTTGGGTGCTGCATTCTGCTTTTGTGAACAGCTTCCTAGGTCACAGCTATGTGACTTGTGGATGGCGAAGGATCCTGTCTTCCCGAATTTCGTGTTTGAGGAAACCGAGTTTGTAGAGGTGCCCAGCTGGAGGACAGCCTTGTTAGGCCCCAGCTGTGGGCAGCCCGCACCTGTGTGCCGTGCACTGAGCCATCTGCCTCCTCTGTGCGCGTGCAGGGCCTGGCTGTGCGTGGCCCCGTGCTGGAGAGGGCTCCCTGGTGACCCCTCAGGGACTTGGGCCTCCATGTAGTGACCACATCGCTTCTCAGGGGGTGGGCGCCCAGGAGGAGCCAGCGCTGGGCCAGGCCTGGCGGGGAGGCCTGAGTGCTCTGTGGCGAGGTCAGCGGTGTGCATCCCAGCTGTGCGTGGCGCCCTGGGTGCTGTGTGGGCTCCGAGGCCCTGGATAGGGGGCTCTAAGTGGAGTTGAGTAGACCCTGTGATGACGTGGCAGGTAGTGGGGACAGAGGCAGGCTCAGGTTGGGTGTACAGTGCTGGAAGCCAAAGGCCGGCCAGGCCGTGCCGGGCCGAGGAGCCCTGATGGCCCCTGTGCCTGACCCGTGGCTCCTCTGCAGCACCAGCTCCGTGAGCACACCTTGCTCCTCATCCGTGGGTGTGGGGTTCATGGTCTGGGGGTTGTCCCCCACTGACTGGCAGCGTGTGGGTTTCCCCCTCATCCTGAGAAGAACCCCCAGCTGCTCTGGACCCCAGGAGCCCCTGCCCTCTGAGGGCCCCGCCTGCCTCCCCCGAGCTCGCAGACACGGTCTGCCATCCCTTGGACCCGTGCACCCTACTTCCTGTCCAGGGAGCAAGCACTGGACGCTGTGCGTTTCCTGTGTTTTTCTGGCCGGGTGAGGTCGGATGACCTTCCAGGGAGTGCACCCTGGGCCAGCTCTGCAGGCTGCCTGCTCCGCCATCCCGTGGAGAGGCCGTGTCACACGCCGGGCAGAGGCGCCGTGCTCCGGCCGCTCCACCTCACCCGCTGGCTGTCAAGTGCGCTTGCTGCTGTTTTCCGGGAAGCCTGCCTGTGAGTGCTTTGTCCACAGCTGCTCACCGGGCCTGCGTGTGCCGTCTGCAGGAGCTCAGTCTGTGTGCGTCCTGCCCCGTGGAAGCCCCCTCCACCCCCCACCCCCCCCGCCCCAGGCGTCCCTGTCCTTCCACTCTCCTGGAGTTCCCCTCTGCTGAGCTGGCTGGGGGCACGGCCTGCCGAGACTTGGCTCGGGGTCCCCTGAGGTCACATAGCTGTCCCAGGAGACGCCGGGCTGGTGGTCCATCGTCGTCAGGGACAGTAAGCTGCTTTGTTCCTGGAGCAGGGCTGGCCCCTGCAAAGTGTGAGGGGGGTATTTTGTGAATGTGTCCCTCCTGTGGAAGTGTAGCAGCCACACAGATCACATGTGCGCAGACAGGTGGGGGATCTGCACACAGCCCGTGTCTGCCCTGCCCCCATGGAGGGGCGCTGCGTCATCACTGGGCCCCCATGGAGGGGTGCTGCGTCATCACTGGGCCCCCATGGAGGGGCGCTGCGTCATCACTGGGCCCCCATGGAGGGGCGCTGCTCAGCCCTGGGCCCCATGGAGGGGCGCTGCTCAGCACTGGCCCCCGTCCACCCGGCGCTGCTCAGCCCTGGGCCCCCATGGAGAGGGGGCTGCGTCAGCACTGGGCCCCGTCCACCCGGCGCTGCTCAGCCCTGGGCCCCCATGGAGGGGCGCTGCATCAGCCCTGGGCCCCGTCCACCTGGCGCTGCTCAGCACTGGGCCCCATGGAGGGGGCTGCTCAGCACTGGGCCCCGTCCACCTGGCGCTGCTTAGCCCTGGGCCCCCGTCCACCCGGCGCTGCTCAGCACTGGGCCCCCGTCCACCCGGCGCTGCTCAGCACTGGGCCCCGTCCACCTGGCACTGCTCAGCACTGGGCCCCGTCCACCCGGCGCTGCTCAGCACTGGGCCCCGTCCACCATCCAGCGGCATGCCAGCCTTGCTGAGCAGAGGCAGTGGCTCTGAGGTGCTGAGACTGCGGCTGCTTAGGGGGCCTATGCTGCCCTGGGGCCCTGCCCAGGCCGCCTCCCTGGCCGGTATAGCTTGTCCACCAGAGTGGCTCCCGCCAGCGTGTCTGGCTTCCCAATCTCCCTGTGCTCCTTGTCATGTTTGCTGCTTCCGGGCTGGGCTGTGCGAGGCTCTGGGAAGCTGCCTGGCTCTTCCGAGTCGCTGCTGGGAAACGCTGCGCAGGGCGGGCTGGGGAGAGACGGCCTGGGGTGGGTGTGAGATGTGGCGGTCCCACCGAGCCGGCAGGGGCCACGAGGGCTGACTGCAGTTGGGATGGTGATGGTACGCCTGGACCCTGGAGGCCTCCCCTCGTCCCTCTGAGCCGGGTACAGGGGGCGTCGTGGTGCCGAGTCGCTGGGGCTTGTAGGCAGCTCCAAGGCCAGAGCCACTCAGCTGCTGGGGCCAGCTCAGCGGCCTTCTCACTGTCGTGGTGTGTGGGGCATCCTCATGGCCCAGTGACGTCGGTGGGGTTTGATCTGGGTGTGGGGCTGGGCGTGGCCTGGGGTGGCCCCCAGGCACTGCGACCCACCCCTCAGCGCCGTGTGCATCCAGGCTGCCACCCCCTGGCTCCCGGGGCTACAGAGACCCACAGGTGTTCAGCAAAGCATGTGGCATCTGGGCGTCTCCAGGGGAGGCATCCTGCGTTCATCTGCTGTCCCCAGCTGCTGGGTGGCCTGACCACCGCCTACCCTGTGACCCCAGATGCTGTTGGTGAGGCTGGGCCCCGCCGGCTCAGCCAGGCCTCATGGAGGGAGCGGGGCCTGCGCCCCTGCGGCCCCTGACCCTGTCCGTCTTGTCTTGCAGGCTCAGCTGTCTCAGGCCCTGGAGGACCTGGGAGGCCAGAAGCAGAGAGCAGACATGGTAAGTCCCGGGGGCTGCTGTGCTGCCTGCGGCCTGGGCGGGGGCACCCCGACTCCCCCATCAGGACTGTGGTGCAGGGAGGCGGGTGACTTCCTCCCGTGCTGTCGGAATGGGGAGCACGTGCGGCTAGGAGTCGAGCTGCGTGGGTCACAGAATAAAGCGGACAGGGCCCAGGAGGAGCCTGAGGGCTGGTGCGGTGGTGGGTGCCCTGGTGACAGTGCCCTGGCCCAAGCTCCGTGCTGCGTTTGTAGACCAGGGATCCTCTCGGGCACGCGTTTCCTGCTCCGGTTTTGTTCTGTCATGGCAGCAGGTGCGTCTTTAAGGCTCTCTCCTCCCTGGTGTGGCTGCCTCGAGCTTGAGCCGCCGGGGGTAGTGAGTGGTGACTTGGAGGACTTCCTGGCCACCGTGCTGGTGAGCAGGCAGGCTGAACGGTGTGGGAGCCGCCACGCTGCGCTGGCGCTCGGCAGCCTCTGGGAAGGGCACAGCAAACCCCAGGGAGCCACTGCGAGGGTGGCGGGAAGCTCTGCCCTGGCCGCAGCTGGCCACGCTGTCTGTGTGGGGGTGGGCTCCGGGGCCTGCCCCAGACTGCAGCTGGCCGCGCTGTCAGTGTGGGGGTGGGCTCCGGGGCCTGCCCCAGGGTGGGGGCCTTTTTGCTGCGAGGGTGGGGTTTGGCAGGAGCCCAGGGACCCAGGGCTGGCTGTGCTCGGGGACTTGATGTGTCTGGCAGTGGCCTGGGGCCAGGCCCCACTGGGCTGAGCAGCACAGCAGGGATGGCTTGTAAGACCTGGTTGTGAGCAGGGCCCAGCTGGGTAGGAGCCTGGCCTGCAGACCATCAGCTGCCTGGGCTGTGAGAGGAGGCAGGGCCGGATGGCCAGGGGAGGGCTGTGTGGACGTTCCAGAACCTTCTCTGTCGGTCCAGCGAGCACTGAAGGGGGTTCCGTTGCAGCAGCGAGCACACCAGGGCCCTGAGTGGTCTGGGGGTCGTTGGTGGAGGTGGCGGGGCACACAAATGGCCGAGTCCAAGGTCCTAGGACCAGGCGGGGCTCAGGGGGTCGAGGGCAGTGGGGTCTGGCCCTGCAGACCTGCGGGGCCAGTGGCATGACCTGGCCTCCATTCTGTAAGACCCCAGGCCCTCTGCGCTGCAGTGAGAGTGGGTGTGTGAGACGGCCTGAGGGCAGGGGTCGAGGACGCCCACAGCGTCTGGCCGGGTGAGGAGGGTGGGGGTCGAGGAAGCCCTGGGAGTCTGGCCGGGGCGGGGAGGGCAGGGGTCGAGGAGGCCCGAGGCGTCTGGCGGGGCGGGGAGGGCGGGGGTGGAGGAGGCCCACAGCGTCTGGCCGGGTGAGGAGGGCGGGGTCGAGGGTGTCCACAGCGTCTGGCCGGGTGAGGAGTGCGCGGATGCCTGTACCTGCAGCCCTGGTCAAGGCCAGCAGGAGAGGTGTGCTCACAGCTTCCAGAAGGTGTTTCCGTCCTGGGGGCAGGTGTGGGTGGCAGAGAAGTCAGAACTCGAGGTTCCAGCCTCAGGCCTCCCCAGCACGCGGACGTTGGGTGGGGGTGGGGTGGCCGGGTTAAGGGGACCCAGGGGAGGCCTGAGGTGGCAAGTGTTGAGCAGTGACCGCTGGCCAGTGCTGAGGCTTGCCCGGGGCAGCAGCTGTGTGGCATTGTCCAGTCCCAGAGGTGGCAGCATGGCTGAGGGCTCACCCCGAAGGCTCCAGGAATCGCCTTGGCTGACCACCAGGTGAACAGCAGGGCACAGGGGCGGGCTGGCAGGCCGGGCAGGTGGGTGCCAGGCGGCAGGAGGCCGGCCCCTGTCTCTGAAGCAGGGTGAGCACAGTGGGAGTGGGGTGTGTCGGAGCTGCCTCGTGGAGCCAGTCCAGGTGACGGTGGTCGCCGGGCCCAGGCATTCCCTGTCGACTTGGGACAGGTGGTTCACGGGCTTGCGGAGGGCTGGGCTGGCGCCCGGTGAGCAGAGCTGAGGGAGCAGGTGCTGGCGGGCGCTTGAGGAAGAGTGGACAGCGCCAGGAGTCCTGCGAGCGCAGCGCCAGCCCCGGTCCCCGGGGAGACTCCTGTTTGCTCTTCTTTTCCTCTGTTTCCTGCAGTGAGCGTTTCTTCCTCCTGGAGTCTGGGGAGGGGGCCTGGGCCTGAGCGTCAAGCCCACCCCCGCAGCGGGACTGGAGAGGTGGACACCCCACGAGGGCCCACGGTGCACTTGCTTCTAGTGGGCGTCCCCAGTGGGGTGCGGTGCTGGCCCTCATCTGGTGAGCCGCAGCTGCTCACGTCGGCCCCGTGTGTGGTGATGTGTGTGGCCGGGGCAGGGTGGGGTCCTTGCGGAGGATGGATGCAGCCATCTGCAGAAGCCCGGGGGACCCTGCTGCTCTGCGTCACCGTGCACAGCGTCCTTGGGGGTCACCTGCATGCAGGAGCGCCCAGGGCCTTGTGTGGGACGGGCGTGGGGCAGTGGTTGTGTATTGGCGTGGGACAAGCCTGTGGCCCAGGGCCTTGTGTGGGACGGGCGTGGGACAGTGGTTGTGTATTGGCGTGGGACAAGCCTGTGGCCCAGGGCCTTGTGTGGGACGGGCGTGGGGCAGTGGCTGTATTGGCGTGGGACAAGCCTGTGGCCCAGGGCCTTGTGTGGGACGGGCGTGGGGCAGTGGTTGTATTGGGTGTGACAAGCCTGTGGCCCAGGGCCTTGTGTGGGACGGGCGTGGGGCAGTGGCTGTATTGGCGTGGGACAAGCCTGTGGCCCAGGGCCTTGTGTGGGACGGGCGTGGGGCAGTGGTTGTGTATTGGCGTGTGACAAGCCTGTGGCCCAGGGCCTTGTGTGGGACGGGTGTGGGACAGTGGTTGTATTGGCGTGGGACAAGCCTGTGGCCCAGGGCCTTGTGTGGGACGGGCGTGGGGCAGTGGTTGTATTGGCGAGGGACAAGCCTGTGGCCCAGGGCCTTGTGTGGGACGGGCGTGGGGCGGTGGCTGTATTGGGTGGGACAAGCCTGTGGCCCAGGGCCTTGTGTGGGACGGGCGTGGGGCAGTGGTTGTATTGGCGTGTGACAAGCCTGTGGCCCAGGGCCTTGTGTGGGATGGGCGTGGGGCAGTGGTTGTATTGGCGTGGGACAAGCCTGTGGCCCAGGGAACGTTCTGCTCTTTGCTCACAGCTGCCCCCACTTCTACACAGAAGTGCCTCCACCCTGCCCCCCCCCCATCCTGCTCCCACATGCTGGTCTCGGGCCTGTGGGGTGGGGTGGGCTCTGGACATCCCCCTGTACCTTGTCCTGGGCCGGGGAGCCCAGGGTGGGATATGGGCTGCCAGCGTGGCTGCTTTTCCAGCCCGTGTTCCCTGGCTCAGCACGCTCACACCCTGCAGCACCTGACATCTGTGGTTTGAGGGGCCAGGCAGAGTCCTGGTTTTATTTCTCCCCAGTTGACCCTAGACCCCCATCCTAGGCTCTGCACCCCAACCTCCTTGCAGAGGCCAACCTCAGGCTGCTGGGGCGGGGGCCTGTGGGGCCTTCTAAGGAAGTGTGAGGTGTTCTGGCTTGGGGTGGGCACCTGGGACCTGCTTCTCTGAGGCGACGCTCAGCAGTGCCCCAGGGGCTCCTGGGAGACGGACAGCGTGCCGATACCTTGCTGCTGCCTGGGACAGGCTTCGTGTCTGCCTCACCTCTCCTCTCGTTGCCTCTGCTTCTCTCTTGTCCGGTTCAGAGGACAGTAGGAAGTGGCCGTGCCTGAGGGCCAGGGCATCCTCTGCTTGCCCTGACCCTGGCCATGGACTGGGCCTGGCAGTCTGGACTGTCCTGATTCTGCCACTTGCTGTCTGGCCCAGCCTTCCACTGGCAGCCCCAAGATCTGATAGCCTGTGTATAGGTTTTTTTTTTCTTTTATTTTAAGGTTTATTTATTTTGAAAGAGTTACAGGGTGGGGTGGGGTAGATATCTTCCATTTGCTGCTTCACTCGTCAGATGGCTGCAGTGGGCAGCCCTGGGCCAGGCCGAAGCCAGCAGCACGGACTTCGTCTGGGTCTCCATGAGGGTGCAGGGGCCCAAACACCCGGGCCGTCCTCTGCTGCTTTTCCAAGGCCGTTAGCAGGGAGCTGGATCGGAAGTGGAGCAGCCGGAACACAGGATGCTGGCCTTGCAGGGCTTCTCGCTAGTGGCCTGGCTGACTTGTCTGAACTCAGTGGCCACAGTGGCACGGAGGCTGGGGCTGCTGGACTCTGAACTAGCCACACATGGCTTGTCCCCACTTCGCCTGGGCTGCCTGGCGGTGGCTCACAGTCTCTCTGGCTCCTTGCTCCTGCAGCCCTGCCCATGGCCAGGCCTCCTTTCGCTCTGCTGCCTCCTTTGGGAGGTTCAAATTTGTGTCCCGCCTTGCCCGTTGTTTCCTGGGGGCTGCTCAGGGCTGAGGGACCTGTCTTGCTGGCCCTGACTCCTGCAGCGTGGAGTGCCTTCAGAGGAGGCAGGGGAAGCCAAGCCAAGCAGAGGGGTGCGCCTTGGCCTCCCTGGTCGCTGATTGTGGACCCCTGCTGCCCTGCACCAGGGCGCTGGTTTCCCGTCCTGCGGTGGCGAGTGAGTGCGTGTGATTGCGTGTGGAGAGAAGGCTCGTGGCGCTGTGTAGAGAAGCACAGGCTGTCTGTGGACCGACTGTCAGCTAATTACAGACGACAAGACAAAGGCAGTCTGACTCTGCTGTTAATTAGGAGGCCCGTGCTAATTAGGAGCGTAAGCACAGTTCGTCTTCCTCTTTAAGTGCAGTTACGCCATGAGGAGGATGTCCTGGGTGAGCTGTGTCATGAACGTATTTCACTCTAATTAGACGTGGCCAGGGCGCACGCAGCAGAGGGCGTCCCGACGGCAGCCGAAAACCCCTGCTCTTGGCAGTCTCTGCGGAGTGAGAACTGAGGTTCTGTTTTTCTCTTTCCTTTCTAAGACATACTTTATTTGTTCGAAAGACTGAGTTACAGAAAGAGGTAAAGACAGAGAAAGAAACGGGTCTTCCATCCACTGTTT